ATATTGGAAGTAAAGTTGAATGTTTTCTCCAGAATGACGCAAATGTATGACCGTTCTTCTCCAGTGCTTCGAGTTGAGCAAGCTCTTGCTTCTGCGTGAAAGCTTTAGTAGTAGTCGTTGAAAAAATTTCAATTTTTAAAAATTCAAAAGAGCTGTTCAAACATATCAGCTCCTTTCAAAAGATAATGCTAAAAAATGCATTTCGTTGGAGTTTCGTACGTCTTACTTGAATTTCTATTTCCCACTTCACAATCTACTCAATTCTATGCACACCTTTTGTATAGGTTTTCGAGTGTGGTCTTTCCTATGATGAGATTTTCTATATCCAAAAATAATCTTTTCTGAATTTTCTGAAGATCGAATCTCTAGAAAACCCATAAAAAATATTTTTGGATGATGAAAATCTCACCATAGGGAAGTGCATATTCGAAGCCCAATGAAAAATGTGACCATAGACTTTCGTACCACAGCATATATCCACGTATCTAGCCAAAATCGGCCACTGTATGTTCCAGTAGGCGTTTCTACGTTCTGTTGCGTGTAATATTTCGATACTGATTGATCAATAACTGACTCATTAAACTAAGAACGAAAATTTTATTATATTTGTGTAGTGGAGCGTAATAGGAAAGAGAAACGCAACATTTACCTCTCTCTGAATAAATAAATATACATTCATTCATAAACGTATACAAACAAGACATGACTGACATAAATAATATCGCCAACGAAGAATATTATACAATTAGAAATAGTTTAGATAATATTCAACAATTATCCAATTTTGTTAATCATTGTTTAAATGATCCATCGTTGAAATTGACGCTTGAGGATGATACATTTAATAAATTACAAAAGACTGAAAATATCGCTCTTAATCTTATGAATCAATGGTGTATACAAAATAGCCCATATAAACAGGATGAGTATGAACTGGTAAAAAGTGTAGCACTATTAAACATGAAAATTACTATGAGTGAAATTGAACTATCGGTTAAGTGCGCTTTACTATTAGATGAACTATGTCTGAAAGTATTCAATAATATTTTCCTTCATATGGATAATTTTAATGAAAATAATTTATATTTAAATAACATAAGTTTATGGCTTGATACATTAGCATATTTTGAACATGAACATTCCTCATTTACCATTGTACAACAATATTTCATCTCATTAAATCGAATAATTAGTGAATTTGTAATGAGTGGAACATATAAAAATTATCTAATAAAATTAACGAAAACTAATGTAGATAACGAAATAAGCCCGAAACAGTTATTTTACATTAGTTCATGTTCTTTATCGATGGGCGTTCATTTATACAGTCAATTTGACATGGAAGTAGTATTCAATGAAAAACAATTTAATCTTTTGATACCATCTTATCGTGAATTTATTATCGAATCTGTTAAAAATATTCATCAATGGTCACATAATTATCTATCTTGTGTAACAAATATTCTTGTTCTTTCAACCTTTTCAAATTGTCATTCTTGTACATCCAATCTTATCCAATTTTTTCAACATGATTGCGCATATTTTCAAGCACTCATCGATATTTTACATTATGAGCCAATTCGTGAAAACATTGTCTCATCATGGTCAAACATGGAAACAATTTTAATCGATACAATCATAAGCTTTTTAATGATTTGTATTCACGGATTAAATGGTGATATAATTTGTTTATTACGAAAACTGTCATTACCTGATATTTGTTTACCATTAATTGAAGCTAAATTTGATCGTATATGTATAACTACTTATGGAATATTGGCTGAAATTTTAACTGATGATGATTTAACGAAATTAGTATTTGGTGAACATGTATGTGATGTAATATTTATATTTTTACAATCAGCTTATCAAAATTCAAAGCAAACGTATAAAGGAGTACCAATAACAATGATATTAAAAGGTATATCATTTGATTATAATAAAATAATAAAAATTTATTTAAATATTAAAGATAATTTCAATTTTAGGTCTTGTTTCTCTGTCAAAAAATGATTTAATACAAGAAATATTTTCTAAATCGGATGAAAAATTAAATTTATTTCTTGAAATGACTGACAAATATCCAGTTGTTTATGATATATTATGGGCATTTTCATTTAATTCAATAATAAAACAAAAATTAAAACAAAATGAAATATTTATTGATAAAATAAATAAATTACGTAATACACTTAATCATGATAATGTTACACGAAAAATGATTTGTGGTATTTTATGGAACTTAGGATATAAAGATGAAGATTCTAATAATGGTATGAGACCGATTAAATTTGATATAATGATTAGTTATAGTCATCAAGAAAAAGCACTATGTCAATCAATTCATGAACAATTACTTCAACGTAAATTTCGTGTATGGATTGACTACGCAGAAATATATGGAAATTTAATGGATTCAATGGCACATGGTATTGAAACATCGAATACAATTCTCGTATGTATGTCAGAAAGTTATAAACGTAGTAATTATTGTCGAGCCGAAGCTCAATATGCTTTTAAGAAAAATTTGAATATTGTACCAATTGTATTACAAAAGCATTTTAAACCTGATGGATGGTTAGGCTTTTTAGTAGGATCACTTTTCCATATCGATTTTACAAAATATGAATTTTGTCGATCATTTCAAATGTTACTTAATGAATTGACTCATTTTACTCAACCTGCCATTGTTATTAATAGAGAATTACATGAATCAGCAACGATTAGAGTCACTATTATGAAACCATCAACTAGTCAAACACTGGCTCTAGTAGATTCTAGGAAAGAAGACGGTAATGGTGCAAAATCGATAAAGAACTGGACGTCTAAAGATGTGCTTGAGTGGTGTAATGAACACAAGTTGACCGAATTTTCACATATTTTAAACGATTGTGATGGTGACAGTTTGTATCATTTATATGAGATGTGTAAATCAAAAAATGTCGAACAAACTATTGCATTACTTCAAAATGAATTTCAAAAAGTGGGTCAAAATTTATCGTTAATTGATTTTGCACGATTTCTAAGTCTAATGGCCAAACTAATTACAGAAGACGAAGAAATTGTGAACAAGAACCACAATGAAAAGGAATTAACAACTAGGTAATGATTCATTTTGAAACAATTTTTTTTATCATTATCTCTTTTCAGATTTTAGCAACGAATAGAGATTTCCTAAATACGTTAACTTTCGATCACTTTGCATATCTGAGCAATCTTCGAAAGTTAATTATCAAAAATATTTATCGATACTAAACGAATGCTCCAAATTAAGAGAATATAGGCAAAAACCATTCGAAAATCTACCCAAAAATAAAATAGAATATTTTTAGTGACTTTTCATTCTCATTGCAAATCGTCCACGCATATGTAATGGCATTATTTCGTTAAAAAGTTCTGTGTAGAATATATATTTTTTCTATTCACCTGTACAAGTAGAAGAACAAAGTTACATGTGATAAAGCTGTAGCTTTTTACAGAAAGTGTTGATATTGATGTAACAATGCTCAGTTTTGTAAATAGGACTGATTCCATGACTCGTCAGAAAAAACAAGAAAACCTTTATCTAACATTGATAACAGCATGAAATAAGAACAAACGAATACTCATTCTTATTGATAATGGATGTGTCAAATGCTACAACTACTTAGATCATACCAAAAGTAACGAGGTTTGCAGGTAAAACTTCACGGACCAGAGGTAATCAAGTTTTCACTTCAGCAAGTATTTGAGCTGGTAGATATGACTAGGGATGCACCAAACTCGAACATTTGTATTTGGTGGGTTTGGATTTAGTGAAGATCTGGAGTTTTTAACCCCAAACAGTTTGGGTTTGGTTTGGTCACCAAACTCAACTAAAGGCTTATTATTGTTAGTAAACTGCTAGACATATGCCCATAATAAATTTCGAACTTTTCGACCGAGAATTTTTCGGAGAAATGAAAATTGTCTAAAAATCCTGAAACGTACATCAATCAATTCAGCTTTTGATGCTGATTTCAAGTATGACATTAGTTTTCCCAAACATTGAACGTTTGATGGCGAAAACTGCAAGATACAAGCGAGTTTTCTTGTCTTTTGCTGCCTGTTTCAAAAAAAATCAATTTTCTCAACAATGAAACAGTATTTTCCAAAACCGATACGTAACTTTTTCGTGCTATCATGGCGAGTAGAATGATATAAAAGTATTGGCCTCATCTCCTATTTAGTGAGACTTGAAGCTTTAAAAGTTTTAAAAGCGACTTATTTTTTAAAAACGCACATAAAACTCTAACACAATGTGTTGGGAAACCTCGGAAGTCTTCTATTCTTGTTCTCCGTGAAAAACTGAATCTGAAAACTAGTGTTTCGATGCTATTCAAGTATGATATGACCTAAAAAATTTTCGTTTTTCACTAATTGCCAAAATCCCGTTCATGTTAGCGCAAAAAGCTACAAATCTCTCTAGATAGAAGATAAAGCCATTATTTTTATATCATTCTACTCGCCATAGATAGCACGAAAAAAAGTTGCGTATCGGTTTTGGAAAATATTGTTTCGCTGTTGAGAAACTGATTTTTTTTGAAACAGGTAGCAAAAAACACAAAAATTCGCTTGTATTTTGCAGTTTTCGCCATCAAACTCCCTATGTTTTGGAAAACTAATGTCATACTTGAAATCAGCATCAAAAACTGACTTGACTGATGTACGTTTCAGGATTTTTAGACAATTTTCATTTTTCCGAAAAATTCTCGGTCGAAAAGTTCGAAATTTATTATGGGCATATGTCTAGCAGTTTACTAACAATAATAAGCCTTTAGTTGAGTTTGGTGACCAAACCAAACCTAAACTGTTTGGGCTTACAAACCCAAATCATGTCTACTAGCTCAACTACTTGCTGAAGTAAAAACTTAATTACCCCTATTCTATGGATTTTTACCTGCAAATCTCGTTACTTTTGGTATGCCCTAGGCATGGTCCGAGTCCGAGTGTCGGCTCGTTGAGACTCGGGCGCGCTGGGCTAGGTTTGGGCAAAGCTCGAGATCGGCGAGCTCAGCTCGGCTCGGTTTGCCTCTACTAAACATCCACTTTTAGTGTCAAATACTTTTTAACTTTAAGGTGGGATCCTCTTCAGAAGTGACATCTTTCATCGAAATCTTACTTTTGAGATAGATATATTGCTGAAAATATTAGAATATCTATTTTCAGGCTCTGTAATCGGTTTAACGGCATCGCGATTTTTTCAGGGATTTTTCAGAGGTTTTCTGAAAGTCTTGAAAAAAAGGTTTTCAAGAAATCTTAAAATTATGTGATAAACACTCGATTAATTTTGGTGCATTGAAATGGAACAACGAAATAATATTTGATTTTCTAGGTCTGACCTAGACACACTGCGTTAACACTAGAGATGAGATGAAAGTGTTTCGATAGTCTATTCTGAAAGTGAGCACTGAAGACTCATTTGGTTTTCTCATACGTTTGGGAGGGATAGAACTTTGTGGAAAACTCCATGACGCCGGTGCAGAAAAGGAATTTGACGTAAGAGAAGCCATCTAAAAAATTCTTACAAATTATTCACCATGAAAAGTATTTACATTTATAGACTGTGAGATATTATCCAAAAAAATGATTCAACAATCCTTAAAATGTAAAGCAGACTATTATGCAATAAACTGAGAATTCAATTTTACCAGTTCAATACTTGTTCTGTTTTTATTAATCCCTACCACAAAACGTTAGTTGTTTGGGATGACGATTGGTTGCATTTCTACAACCACCACCTGGCGATAAAGGTCCTTCTTTAAATGGTCCCATTGTATTACAATCAGCATTCATTCCAAATGTTTGATAAGTATCACTTGTCCATACACAACAATTATCAGAAATTATACTTTTATAATTTTTACCAATAAATTTGGAAGCTATAATTGACAGTATATCTGTTGATGCACGACTATAATATGGAGCACACCGACCACCTGATCCATCCAAATAATAACAATGACCATTATACGAAACTTCATAACTTAAGCATTCGACCGTTGTTGTTGTAACTACATCTAAAAGAATACATACTTGAATGCCAAATTTTCTGTGTTTTCTAATAAATCAGTATGAACAACGTGAAACTACCACTTCTAAGTGAGACACAAAGACGGTAATACGTACTTTCTTCATAATCGCAACGTTGATCATCATTAGACCAAACTAACGTTGATGGACATTGTTGTAAATATGCATAACCATTCGCACACATATAAAATGAACTTGGACTAGCTGGATTTGGAAACATTCCATGTGGTTCAGTACAAACAAATGCATTTGTATAACCAATGTAACAAAGAACAAGAATTAAAATAAAAGTCATTATCCCTGGCTTTATTGTTAACTTCTTCCTCTTAATGCTTCTTTTATGATTGAAAGCTTGACTATCTATTAGGCTTTTTTAGTTGTGAGAATCAAACCATATATTTTTAAAAAGAAAAGTATATATGATGGCGTTCGAAATAGTACAAAAAGTACAGAACAATTGAGTCTTGAGATTGTTCTCTCAAATGAGAGACTTCAGTTGATGCTGGGTGAGCGAATGAACGATTCACAATAGTCGATTTAAGAGAAAAGCGGAAAAAGTATACATTTACTAAAGTGTGAGTGAATGCCATTATAAACGTTCATGAGTAAAATTAATGCACATTCACTCATACTTTAGTAAATGTATATCAGGGCTCCGTATGGTCCGGGCAATTTCAATCTCCACTGGTGCAAATTAGAGTAAAGTGACTATTCTAATTTCCACTACTGTCCATCCAAAAAATTAGTGGATGTGGATATTTTCTGAAAGCGATATCTTTAATCTCTTGCGGTTTCTGGCGTTGCATCGGAACAGGGCTGGGCAACTCCAACTCCGGAGTTGAGGATTTTTTTGGTGGAGCTGGAGTTGGCCTTGGCGAAGTTGGAGTTGAGATTTTAGTGGGTTAGAGTTGAATTTTTGAATTTTTATTCAACTCCGTTTTGCATTTTTGGAAATATTCAATAGTTGCAAACTGATCTTCTAAACGAGTGAATTCGGAAGTTCTTTGCGCTTTCCTGTCGGAAAAAGCTCAGAAACATCCAGAATTCGGCCCAAAACCGAAAAATCTTCCTTACAAAAGAGAAGCAACCGGAGTTGAACGGGAGTTGAGATTTTTGTCGAGGGAGTTGGAATTGAAATTCGCAGTTGAGTTGGAGTTGAAAGTCAGCGGAGTTCCCCAGTCATGCGTCGGAATTCCTGGAAGCGGCAGGATCGACGTTTCTTTCTGTATGGTAATCTCGAACATGAATGGAAACATAGGTTATCGGCCACGCTGAATCTTGTGGCGATGTTTGTTTGTCGAAGAAACTCAAAAGCCTACGGAAAACCAAGATGAAAGAGCCGATTTTTGCCCATTTTCGTGCAAAAATTAGAAAATACTTAACTCAGTCAGAATCGATGTGAACGGCGTCAGAATGTCAATTTATACTCTATTTTATCTGCACTACATCGTGGACTTTAATAGAACTTCTGGAGATCAATCGAGAAGCCTTTAGTTTTTTCCAGTTTTTCTAGAAATGTTCAGACGCAAGGCAGACTTTTTTGCTAGTCCTAAGCACAGAATCCGATTGAGAAGATAAAATAAGGTATATCTTGACATTATTCTAACGTCGTTAATAAAACTTGCCTGAATATAAATCGAAGTGTAAAATTTAAATTGACTTTTTTTTGATAGATATTGAGCGATTTGAATCAAGGAGAATTGCGATTGTTAAATAGAGTTATCACATATTTTATGAAGCTCTGTTGAAACAAACGTAGTAATATCGAAATCGTGTCCAGATGTAGGTTTCAGCTGAAACGATCAAATTAAAATTTACTTCTGAGATCCTCTAAATAATGTAAGTCAGCTATTCTCAAACGATTCTATGATAGCCATTAATTAAAGCAATTAAAACAAGGAGGAATGAACAGCTTCCTAAATTGTGCTTTTGCTTATAGTCTTCTATTTTTTCTTTTTTACAAATAGTGTAAGTAACTACATAGACTTGTACCGTAGCATCTTTGAATTGTCTATGCAGAATAACTTACAGTTCATTTCAACCGCTCAAACCTTTCGTATAGCTAGCTATTCAATTATTTTCATGTGGACACATGACAGCAGGAAAAGGTCTCTTTTAACACCTGGACTAACACCGATAGACGATCTATACTCGAATGCTGCGAGTATAGATCGTCTATTATGTTTCGTTCCTCTCAACAAGTGACATCGTTATTTGTGCTTCATTATTGGTTTTAAATTGGCTATTAACAGTTAAAGAATAGCTACAGGTACTTCTACAGAATAGTCAGTCACACTGCAAATATGATCACCCACTTTAATATGTGAGAATCATCCACTTTTCTGCATCATTTTTCCACTACAGAAAAGTGGATGACTCTGCAGACCAATCACTCAGTGGTCACCCACTTCATTAACAGTTTTCATCCAGCAAAGCGGGTGACACAAAATT